TGACAACTTAAAACTGACAACTTAAAACTATTTTGATATGCACTTTGTTCACTTTAGTGTCAACCACTATCATGTCAAGTACTACACGTAAGTTTTAGTATTAGGAGATAAAGCATGTCTTTTTGACTTGAGGCAGATACAACTTTATCTAATATGACTTTTAGTAAGTGCTGTAGACAGTGCTATTTTGCAAATATATTCAGATACACATACTTCCCTCTGTCCCCTTCAGTTACCATAACACCCTTTCTAATGCCTATTACAGTTTAGTCTTACCATCCTCTGGAATGTCCAGCTCACATTTTCCATCCCACTGGAGGCACTGAGACATCAGCCGCTCTGTCTCAGACCGAAGAATGTTTCTAAAAATAAAGGTGTATTGAAAAAATCAGGTTTTGGAAAATTTTCTAACTGCTGTCACTACTTGTGACTGTTAATGGTTACTATCCTTTCGCTTTCAGAGAAGCTACGCTGTCTTTGAGCAGTAGCCATTAGACTGTTTTAGTTTGCTGACTGGCTGAGATGCAATTTCTTTTCGACTGCTTTCAAGCTTGTGTTCCTTAGGACAAGGTGTTAGTCTCCAGAATTTTATATTCTTTACTTGCACTAGCAATGCAAAAAGGGAGATAGGAATGTATGCCTACCCAGGTCACTGCTGACAGGCACCAACCACCATAAGCTAATCTTTACAAGATGTCTCATTACTCATATTAAGGACCTCAGAACAGACAATAGGGAAGGGAAACAAATGAACACAAACCTGAAATAGGGCACATCATGCTCTGGCTCTCTTATATCATCTGACTTGGTTTCAAGCGCTGTTATATCCGTAGAGACAGGAATTGTTTCATTTGACCTTTGAACAGGAGTTTTCTCATCTGATTCACTTGCTGAAAAATGCAAAAGGCATTTGTTCAGAATCTGGTGAGAAATAAACACATTAGAATAATAAAATAAACAGGAACTTCGTACCTTTTTCTTCTTTCAAACTTGTAGTGATTTGCTGTTCTTGAATGCCTTTACCAGCAGGTGAAATTTGACTTTTTAAATTAGGCTCCCGTGCATTAGTTTCACTGTATTTTTCAATTATATTACTGGAAACAACAACAAAAAAAGTACATTTAGAGTTAAGACACATTGAGAAACTGACATCAAATATGGCCAGATACACAAAAAGGCTATCTTACATTCAACCCTAAAGAATGCAAGCAATTCCTATTAAAATTAATAGCACAAGTCCCTGATATATGAAGCTGCTTTACTTTAAAGCATAGATGGGATTATAGATTATATAGCTTTCTTTGCTGTTGGATTAAGACCACATTTGACTAAGTAACAATAGCAACCATGGTTATCAGATGTTTCAACAACACAACAGTTTGTTACACAAGAAATCTCTCTATAGAAAGCTGATGTTTTCTGTAGCATCAGAGGGGTTCATTTGCATTTCAGGCCATTAGAAGAAAGAATCTTACACTGGAGATTTCGAAAAATCCCAGAAAGCATCAGGTGTCAAAAATGCATTTGCCCTAGAAGGAGTCATGGGTGTAACTTTGTAGGTTGCTAATCCATTTAAAGGTTGAAACACGAAGTTTTGAGGTGCAAAAGAGCATGTTCTGGGTCTCCCTGGAGCAGAATTGTTTTTGTTTTCCACTGAGGTCTGTTCCTGTTGAAGTTCTACTGACACTGAATGTTTAGAATCAGCTGCAGAATCTTTTGTCGCTGGATCCAGTTGAGCATTTTTATCCACTTCATGTTTAGAAGGAATTACCTGTAACAGCACAAATAGACAAAGCCAACACTACATTATCAAATCAATAAAATGTTTACTATAGGCATAGGACTGTCTAAAAGCCATCAGGAAGGGAACAGTTTCAGGTAAGTCGCATTTTACAATAGCATACAAGTACAGAATTCATGATTTACCAATAAGCCCAACTGGTTTTCACACCTGCAAATCACTCCAGCAACAGGGATAGCACTTCACTACAAGGAATGAGCGATCCACTGAAGGGCCTAAAGTAGCAGAACACTTCACCTACCAAAACAGTAATTAAAAGTAGCAAACCTTTGCTCCCACTGCTAGAAAAAAAAAGTGCTTTAAGGTGATAAGCTCCTCAAGAGCAGAATTAACTGGCTCCAAATCAACTAGGCCTGTTGAATAATCACAGTTTATACATATACTCTAAATCCAAAGACTGAAGACCAAGCTAAAGTAAGCTGATAGCTGAGGAATGCAGCCCAAGACAAGTGCAGTTAGGACCACAGAATGTCATTAAAAGAGGAGAAGTTAATCAATAAGTTGAATCCACATTCCTATGAGATGAGTGATCAGATACTCACACAGAACGCATTTTTGAGATACCTATTATTGAGATACTGTTAGCTCAAACCAGCCAAAAGAGCTTAGATTGTTTTTCAAGAAAATATGCATCTTCAATCCACTATAAGTCTTGTTATACTTTAGATACCCCTGCTTGGAACGTAAGCCTTGAATTCAATTTTTAAGACACTTCTTGTAATGAGATGCTGAAGTTACAGCAAGAGTTTACCAACTGGCAGCACAAAGCAACTCCTGCCTGTGAAGAGGTACTTACCTGAGCAAAGATGTCTTACCTCCTGTCAGTGTTTGTGCATGACTGCACCGGTTTCAAGACAATACTAGAGCACAGCTGCAGTTATGGAAACAGGAGTGGAGATGGGAGGCGTGAAGGAGACACAAGGTGAGAGGGAATGGTGGAGTGCAAAGAAGGAGAAAAATAATTTATGGTTCTCGCACAGGACTGTCAGCGCATGAATGCATACGCAAATTGTTTGGGAACCTGGGTTGGAGGGCTACGATGAATTCACATACTGCTGTCTCTATGTAGAGGCACTGTTATAGCAGTGAACCACAACGATTGCCTTTAATTATGATATGCCTAACTTGCCGAGAATAACATCTCCAGCTTTATTTTTTTGTGGTTCAAAACCTAAAAATGCATTTATTTCTTAGCTTCTAAAGTCTCATATCATTACCTTAGCATGAAAAGGATACATTCAGAATATGTTTCAAAAAGGAATGAACTGCACAAAATTTACAAATGCTAGATAAAACCAGCAAAGTAGGCTTTTTTTTACTAGTTAAAACATCAGACATGAGATATGTCATGTAAGAACTTCTTCTCTAATTTAAATCATTGTCCAGATCTTGATTAGTAATCAAGTCATCCATATAAGCAAAAGACATTTGATCTTAATTTAAAAAATATGGCAATATAAATACATAGAGCTTCCTCCCAAAATCTAGCTTATTAGTGAACTTCTTATTACTTCTATGCTTGAACACAAGTATATTTGAGCTACAATTACACTGTTACTGGCTCTTAAATCAGTTTTACTGCTTTTCCATTTCAAATATTAAATGACCTACCTCCGTGATGTCAGGTTTGACTGCTTTCTTCTGCTTTCCTACACTTGCTGTCTTTCTCTGTGACTGGTTACCTAGAATGAGAGAAACTCGTAAAGGTCAAAGAGGCATCCGATTAAGACAATCTTTCACCAGAAGACTGCCATAAAAGTCCAGTGGTTAGAGACAGGGAGAGACTGTTTTGTTTCTTCAGTGGGAGGTGGCTAGAGGGCAGACACCTAATTGCAAAAGTTCATCCAAAAGAAAACCTGGCCTAGGATTTAACAGCCTATTAAGAGATGTATCACCAAGAAAGGAAACCAGTTTCATTAAGTCATTAGTCTTTAGATGTTGTCATATACTAAAAATAAAGTCACCTTATTTCCTTAAAGGCTGAAAAGATAACATCAAGCCAATTTGAGTTCAGATTTTTAATTTCTGTATGGCATAGGATTTCTATGGGTGAGTTGAAACCAATACTAACACAGCTGTGCTTTCAGCCTAAGGGTTAATTTCTGTCATATATAATACAAGGGACACTGCAAAACATTCTAGAGAATATCCTGAGAACAAGAATATATACTAAAAATTTCCCCTTCAGTAACTATCATGTTCCCCTATTCTAGTAAACAGACAAACATGGACAAAGAAAAATTCCTGACTCGAAGAACATAGGCTCTCGTCTCTTCCAGAGGTGTCTGTTCCTGATCACAGACTTAATAACCGTATGTCCTTAAACAGCGATACACCCAACTGGCAAGTCTTCACCAGTTCTGGGTTTGTTCTTTCAGTTTATAATTACCATATGGATATTGATGCTCCACACCGATGGATTTTACGGGAAACTGTCCAATGTTGGTTTCAACATCTTGATTTAAATATTGCAATAGAGTTCCAGATGAGAGTCTAAGTGATGCAGTATTTAGTCCTTTTCTTACATGACAATTTGGCATGATTTACATACAGTCTATCTATTCAAAGGAGATAGTTACACAGCAGAAAGTGTGCTAAGACAGTTCAGAACAAGCTGATATGTATCTCTACAGAGCAACAGAGTGCCTGAGATATGAGCAAGATCCTAAAGACAACAAAGCTCTCTTAGACTCATTATCAAATTATATATTAACAGCAGCATATAAACGTACATATGTTGTTTCCAGTGCTTGCTTAGCCAGCACTGGATGGTATCTCTTTACAGCACACTATTCCAAATACTTACGCATCAGGCTTCAGCTACACAAGGAGGACTACGTTCATTGCCTCACTTACCAGTAGTAGCAGCAGTAGTTGTTTTCAGCATCTGCCTAGCTGCAGAGGAGGCTGCTCTAGTGATTCTTACATTTGAGGTTGTCTGGACTGCAGTCTGCAACACTGTAAGAAATGTTAATTCCAGAGATTTCAAAGCTTAACAAGAAGCTGCATTCAAGTAATATAATTGAAAGTTTAAGTTTTGTAGAAATCAGAAAAGTGCACTAGCAATTACTAATTGCATTAGTTTGCCAGAATCAACAGGGGTTTTTCTGTCAGTTCAGTGCACGCAGTGCTAAACATGGACAGCACAGCTCGGCCTTGGCACCAAGGCAATGCTCTGAAGGATCTTGACTGAAGATGTTTTTGTTGTACAGTAGTACCTCCAGGACCATCAAGGTACCAGTGTGCTAGTTACCATGTACAAAGCTTAAGGAACCCTTCTCAGTGTTCCCTGCAATCAGAGTGAACATCATCCCCATTTTACAGATGAAGCTTTCTAGAGTAATAACCTGCCATGGCTACTTGCACAGCTGGAAGCTTAAGCTAACCATTGTGTAACAAAGCAATGCCCTGGTCATTATATGGAAGTATTCTAAGGTCTGAATTTAATGTAATCTAACAAAGTATTCTTAAGACAAATTGCCCCTGAAATATTTCATAAAATATTACAAGTTCATGCACTGTATTACCCATCTTAATAATTTTCATCTTTGTATTTTAGTACTGTCTCTAATATCCTACAAAAACGATAGCATTCTCCTGCACAGAAAAATTCAACAGGAGCTCTTTATTTCACAGCTTCGCTTTCTACATCTGCCTGAAATCTAGTAGCCCCACTTGGTTACTGTTAATGCTATTCGTGTTTTTAATGTCAAGCTGCAATTCTGTGGAAGCTAGAATGACAAGTTGGTAAAAAAATTACTAGATAAATAATTATAACATTTGATTTATCCAAACATTCACTTTCCTAACATTTTTATACTAGTGTTTAAATACATACAATGCATATTCTTGATTCAGAAAAAAAGGAATAATCAAGTCTAGTGGATGACAATTTTTCAAAAGTTAAATGTTTTAATTGTTACATCAAACACTGATAATGGCTCTTTTCAGTATTCACTGAAGGCACTACTGAAATTTATTTAAACAAAGGTCTGCTGCTTGCTGATTTAATTAAATTAGCGATGCAAAAGTCATTTCACTCTGAATTACTGAATATCTTGCATTAACGTCAATATTCCACATGACTTAACCGTATCAGCTTAAGGTATGGACATCACTATGCTATCAGGAAAGAATTTCTAATCAACGGTATTCTACTCTCTTAAAGGTGGCATGGGTTGGGTTTTGTTGTTGTTGTTTTCTTAAGAAATGTATGTAATTGTCACATAGAAAATGACAGATACAGAAGGGACTGTTGTAAAATATGAAAACGTAACATTGTACTTGTCATTTATTGAAGAAGACAATCACACATTTACTCAGTTGCATTAGTGTGCATCAGAAGTTTGGGCTCCTGTCTTCAACATTATATGCTAACATGCTTTACCAGTAGACTATCCTTTTCCAAACCTTTTTCAATGCTGAGTTATACATGCAGTTTCATTTAGAGACCACAGACAACTGTATATCTGCTGTATAGACAGAGGAAAGACTTCACTGAAAATATTTACAGCTCATACAATCAGCTTTTTTTCAGGCTACCCACAACACCAAGGAAAATTCATCTTTTACTTATGTCAGCTATTCTTCATCTTTCCAGGTGAAGTCACCTGCTCTTCTGTAATAGCAGCAGTTACTACATGTGATGCTCTTCTTAGAGACAAACAGAAAGCTCTGCACAGCTCCAGGTGCTAAGGCAGCTAGCAGTCATGCAATTCTGCCTACTGACCTTTTTCTTTTCCTCTCCTAGGGTGAATAATCAGTAACTAGGATGGCATTAAGCATCCTGCATTCCCTTTCCCCCAGCCTATAGAGGCAACAAATACATGCGATATCTAGAGCCACACGCTTGATAATCTGCCAACTGCTACCTTTGTCATAGTTGGTAGGAATGGCCATCCTAAAAACTCTTCCTTGTTTTCTACACCAAAAACGTACTACGGATCTCTCCCAAAGATGTTCTTTGCCTCCCTCCCATAGTGTCACAACTACCGACTCAGGAAAAAAAAAAACAAAACAGACCAGCAGCGTCCTTTCAGATTCAGATGTAGGGATCATACTACTTTCATACCTTTCTCTTTTTCAGACACTTTGACTGTACTCATCTGTTTACGTCCCGCTTGTGTAGGGCGTACATTATGCCCGTTGGCACAGACCTACAAGAGAAGATCATTTTTTGTGAAGTATCAAATTTCCAGAAATGAAGCAGCCTAATTTCTTTCCTCATCTTTCTGTCCTAGGCTCCAGTAAAACAAATGGTCAAATAATTTGCCACAAAGGGCTTTAAAATGTGAAGAGAAATTAAGAATAACTAAAATAGCTCATTTTAGACAGGTGTTAACATGCATTATCCAACTAATTAAGAATTTGTCAGAAAAAGAATGAAGAAAAATATTTAAGAAACCATTTCAGTTTACTACGAAACTAGGTCCAGTTACTGCCGCATCTCAGTACATACTACGTGTTTTAAAAAACAGTTTTCAGAAAAAAAAAAAATATTAACTCAGCTGTCCCTTTGTAAAGTTATGACTGCAAATCCTTCAAATGCATTCAAGTTTTGTAAGGCAAGGTTGCTAGATTCAAAATATAAGCTTCTTTTACAGATTACTGCTGGTGAAATTCCTCAAAAAACCCTACTTTTTAATACAAGTAATAGCAGAAGGGACTGCCACGATTCACAGTAAAAACATGCCAACATTGAAGGGATTTTTGAGTGAAGAATGAACTGACTATAATCTGCATTCACGACAGACCTTCTGCATTCAAGGGAGATGCACTGGTTCTCCAAGCCAAAACCAAACTTCAGTCTCACTACTATCTCTACACATACTTCAGTCCTTGCTGACTACAATATTTTGTATTGAAAAATTGATCCAGAACATCTGTGCACTTTTCTGTTTGTACTGACCTAATCAAACTCTCTGTAGTTCAGTTCAGCACGAGGCTCAAACCAGCATAATAAGGTCTATCAGCTTGCTGAAAGCTTTTCGGATCTAATTTGTCTTTCTCACCAGGAAAACCTCCTTAGAGACAGCACTCAACTTGTAAGCATACAACCCTGAGTTATGGTCTGAAGGAAAATTGCATCCTTTTCTCTAAATTTATTCACTGAAGTTTGTATAAAAAACAAACCGTAGAGTGCTTAGATGCAGTTGGTATCACAGTTTTTTCTTCTTGGTTCTTGGCCTTTGATCGAGTAATCCTCCCGGAGAAAGCAGGAGCTGCCTGGGAACATCCCCAAGGAAACAAGAGTTAACGTACTCCTTTCCCCCCACCGTCACAGTTAGAGCGGTCAAGAAGTGTGAAAAGCAACACACCCGTGCAAAATGGGTCAAGTGTGTAATTTGAAAAACTTTCAAAGTCGAGTGGACTAAATAGGAACAAGTTACCAGTTCTAAAATAACTTAGCTGTTTCAATTGTGGATGAATCATCCCGGTTTTTGAACTGAGAACACAGTCATAAATACAAAAATCAACATATCGCTAGTACTGTTTCCAGCTTTGTTTTAAAAAAATGAGCCAAATTACTCCCTTATTGTTCCTTATTATAAAATAAATATTTATAAAGTATTTACAAAATAAACTGTTTGTTTGGCATAACATACACATGATTTTGTATACGACTAGAAGTTTTAATATACTATACTACATATACTTCATTTAGATATTTAATATTACTCTTACTACCTTCTCTCTTGGCTTCACTATCACTGGATCTTCAGGTACAAGTGAAAGAAATCCAGGCGCAGTTGGTCTGTATAACCCAACTTTAAACACACTCTTTTTTGCTTTCTCTCTCTGCTCTCTCAGTTTTCGAAGTTCCTTTTCTTCTTTATAGCGCTGGAGCATTTCCTTGCGTTCATTAATCCTCTTGGTGGCTGCATTTATAGATCGTTCTGAAGCAAAGATGGAAGACATCTTTGTTATAAAATCTTGAAGATATTTTCAGCCAACAATAAGCAAGTCAGAAAATTTCAAAAAACTTTTCCAAGATAGAAGAGGAACACACTAAGTCAAAGAGCAGAAGACTGTCTGGAATCTGCGCTTGCAAGTTTCAATTAAAGCCTTACAATGCAAATACATGTGATCTATAAGCTTGCTAAAAGCTTAAATTCTCTTAATTGTTTTAACCTTTCCCACTAAAAGAGTATTCAGTGGTAAATTTCAACTTGCAAATACACCTCCCCAAATCTGCACCTGAGGGATACTATAAATTCATATCCATTTTACAGGGTACAGGCTGCTCCTGCAAGGTTACTAATATTAAAGTTAACACTTCAACTACTTATTTAGTTTATTTGTATCAGTTTCTCCATTCAAACACTTATGTCATTGAAAGCTGAAGTTTAGGTCAGCTTTAGATACCAAAGTCTGCATCAAGCTGAGAATAAATGAGGCAGAAGTTATATGAAATAAATCCTTACGACGATGCCAAACTTGAAGTATATGTCCATCTGAAAAATTTAACTTAAAGTTAAAATTTAGTTAAGATAATTTATTTTAATTTATTTTAAGATAATCAAGATAGAAATTTCTTAAATTTCATATTTGACATGATTACGTAGGGATTGCACTCCGTCCTCCAATAATCTTCTGCTATCAAAATACTGAAGGAGAAAATATTTCTACAGAAATCCGTTAACATTTTTAAAGACTAACTTAATTCCCTAGGCCATAAGAATCCAGGAGAGCCAGGGACGCAGGATTCAGTATATATGCAGGCCCTATTTTCTGGGAGGAAGGGTAAGTCATCAAAAACTAGCAATTGTTAAAATAAAATTATACCATGCATTTACCCATTTATAATTATATATACCCAATTATAATATACCATTACCTATTTCTAAGCATATTTTAAGTACATGACAGATACCAGTTATATGTTAGAAGAAATTTTAGATCAGGGTTTTTCACTTCTTGAACAACAAAGCAATCATTAAGAGACTTCCTATTGAATATTAACAGTAAAATGCATTCTTCCTTTACTTGCTGCACACAAATCAGAGCAAAGCCTCATTCATACCACCGAAGCAGTGAGGAGGATAAAGCTATATTAAGCTTTATTTTCCTGATTTTCTTAACAGTTAGAAGAACTGGTAGTACTCATCATTTTTTAAATCTTAAGCCTTTTCTTCAGATTAAAACATTGACCACAATTAGGTTCCTGTGATAATGTTACTAAATCTACTTAAAGACATTTTTAACAGTTTAAAAAAGCTTTATAACAAGTCTTTACTTACTCTGTTTTACATTGCTGTTCTCTTGAGAGCACATTTCACTTGTCTCATTTAGTTGAGAAATTCCCCTCTCTTTTGAGAGCTGAACATTGACATCTGCCAATCCAAACTGTCTGCCCTTTTCAAACAACTTGTGTCTGTTCTCCTTTTGCAGCATTGATTTTCTGCGAGCAACTTTTGTTCTGAGGGTTTCTGTACTCAAATCCTTTTTGTATCGACTGGCAAACTGGGAGGTAGCAGCCATCTTGATGACCCTAGACAAAAATCATCAAGATTAGGAAAAAAGCTGTCATGTTTTGTTTTGCCCTTTTCATTAGAGTTTACATGTTACGAACAAAGAAAGCCCTAGGTTCTTCATTTCTGTATGTGTACCAGAGAAAATGCAAATGACAATTTCAGTAATGAGTCTTCATTATTTCTCTTTATTTTATGCATTCAAGGCGCTAGTTTGTTAAGTGGTCTCAACAAGTCTGACACAGAATTAGTAGGGGACGCTGTGTCACTGCCAGAGATTGTCCTGCTGGTCTGTTTTCAACACAGATGTTTTTCATGTTAAGGAGACAAGCAAGTAAATGACAAGGTTGTAGGACAATACTTGGAAGCAACATTGCCACTGAGCATTTAGATTATACCCTATCTGATGGCAAGGCATTTTTGTCATGCATCAGAGTACTTGGCAACATTTACGAACCAAGTTTCCAGGATGCAACTGCAATACAATAGCATTTATTTCAAGCAGGATTTCTCCCTACTTTTTTAACCTGAGGAAGACTTGATGCAAATCCTGGGCTGCATCACAAGAAGCGTGGCCAGCAGGTCGAGGGAGGTGATTCTGCCCCTCTACTCTGCTCTGGTGAGACCCCACCTGTAGTACTGCGTCCAACTCTGGAGCCCCCAGCACAAGAAAGACATGGACCTGTTGGACGGGTCCAGAGGAGGCCACAAAAATAATCAGGGGGATGGAACGCCTCTCCTATGAAGAAAGGCTGAGAGAGCTGGAGTTGTTCAGCCTGGAGAAGAGAAGGCTCTGGGGAGACCTAATTGCAGCCTTTCAGTACTTAAAGGGGGCTTAGAAAAAAGATGCGGACAGACTTTTTAGTAGGGCCTGTTGTGACAGGACAAGGGGTAATGGTTTTAAACTAAAAGAGGGTAGATTCAGACTAGATACAAGGAAGAAATTTTTCACAATGAGGGTGGTGAAACACTGGCACAGGTTGCCCAGAGAGGTGGTAGATGCCCCAACCCTGGAAACATTCAAGGTCAGGTTGGACGGGGCTCTGAGCAACCTGGTCTAGTTGAAGATGTCCCTGCCCATGGCAGAGGGGTTGGACTACGTGGCCTTTAAAGGTCCCTTCTAATCCAAACTATTCTATGATTCTATGAAACATCAGTTGGTCTGTACGTGTTGTGCTAACAGCAATGTAAAAAGCTCCATCCCCTGCATCCTGCTGACGCCTGTCTTGTCGAGGGCTTTCATGCTTTCTTCCTGGAGAGAGGTCAGGATCAGTTCTTGCAATTGGCCTTACTCTGCCACCTCAACCAGGGTCTTTTAGAAATCTCATCTTCTGTTACTTACAGAAAACAGCTTTACAGTAAGGAGGGTGACAGAGCTAAACTAAATAGCCAACAATTACTTACTGACCAACAAATTGGTCATTTACTGAGATTCTTAATTTCAAGACAGCACGTTTTGATCAAGCTAAAGGAATCATCAATGAACTGGACTGAAAAGATCAGCCCTGACTATGGGTGTACAGGATTTCTGAAAGTCAATCCCCTCCCCCTCCATTTGCTACCAAAAGCCAAAAACAACACCAGCAGCCTAACTGAAAAACCCAAATGTCAGAAGAAAAAGAGTACCAAAATAAACAGAAAGAGTACAGAAATAAATAAGAATGTACTCTTAAACTGAATATACTTATGGAAAAAGCAAGCAAGGAAAGAATCTAAGCTATTGTAAAAAGGAACACAGACAAAGTCTGTTCAGATACCATCACTGCTGGCAGTGGCAGCTCCTTGTGCCCCACTCCATGGCAGTATTCATGTACTAAGTAAATTGCATAGCACCAACAGTACCTGCACAGCCATCTGGAAGTGCTTGGAATAGATACTGGAGATAACATATAAGTCAGAAATCTAAATGGGTGTATTTTGCTTCTTTTTTTCCCAATACACTCAGTGCTGCAGGAGAGCAAAATGGTCAATGGAAGTGTAAATAAGCAAATGGGAATGAAAAGCTAAACTCGGCTTAAAGCACTCAAATCAGAGACTGGATCTCTTCCACATAATCCTGGAAGAGCTGGTGCATGTCAGTGCCACCTGATTTGTCCATATCTTGCATTTCATCTGGCATCTTACGTTCCAACTTTCAGAAATTGTTTAAAGATGCAAATGATCAGACCACCTCTACTGTAGTTCATAGGTCATATTTGCCTTGCTTTACATGTTAGTGATTCAGGAAGGTTAGTTCATGAGCATCTCCAATAATCATCTTTGGATTGATCTTGTTATTAATTCCCACGGAAAACCATGAAGAAAACAGTTAGTGGTAATATATCCCGACTATCTACCTGCTAGAAGATGCAGGCTTTTTGAGCCCAGTGGACGAAAATAATTTCTAAAAGCAGCAGTTAGCATCAAGTCTCTACACTCATCCTCTGTGGACTTGTAGGACAAATTCCCTGTGTCTGGGACTCCTTAAACATCCTCTTTAAATACAGCCACAGTCCTTTCAGAGTGCATGCACCATTTTTAATTCAGTGCCTTAATGGAAGGTAACGTACTCTCTATCCACAGAACATACATTGTTATCTATCAGGCAAGCTTACAGAAAGCTGCATTTGCCTTAAACACTGATAAATATTTAACACATTTAAAGGATTTTTATGCTCTACCTTCTACTTTGAACAATATTTTCCTAGTTATTGTAGTGTAAGTCCACTTACGGCCTTCTCCCATGAATGAGCCTCAAGAGCAAGTGATCTACCTTTCAGTAAGTAATCCTGCAGCAGAATTCATCTGAATCTTAAAGAAGGCAAATATAACGTAAGCAGAGATGCAGAGAGAGCTTCCCACAAAGGTATTATCAACTCACATCCCAGATCAGCAACAGCAATCCAAGAGATTACCCATGATCTCTTTGGGCTTGTTAAAAAAGTATGGCAAGCTCAAGACCAAAAGCTCTTCCTCTAAACATCTCTTTAGGACAAAAATACCTGTCTCCTTTTCTTTCCAGGTTATGGTTTCTGAGTAGTGCCTTGCCCAAACAGGAGTCTAGAGGATTAATTGGAATTTAAATTGGCATAAGTTCAAGTAAAGACTAGTAGCAGGAAAGGGACAAAGAGCTTAAACGAAAGGAAAGACTTGGGACTAGCTAGTGTATACTGCCAAAATTGAAGTTGAAAATTTATAGGATTGAATTTTATAAAAAAACAGTGAGGGAAAAGAACCACTTTTGACCAGCAACGCCACAAGAACCAAAGGAGTAATACCAATATGAAAAACATCTAGGTGCACAGTAAGCATTTTTAGCCTGAACAGAGACAAAGTAGAGCAGGAAGAGCAAACATCGCTATTTCTAAAGCAGGAACCCGGCAAGTTTGGGGACTGAGTAAGGTCTAGACTCTATGGTTTCGAGACGGGGCCCCGGGGATCACGACAAGCTGAACACCAGGCCCCTGCTCCCTACTGCGGCTCTGACGGCTCGCCGCAGGCTTGGCCCCTCGGCC